GTGAAGTAATGACCTTGATGCAGGAATTCTCTGCACACACACGGTATACGGTCACTTCATGAGAAGGTCAGGCATTGGGAATCTGGCCGCACTTGGGTCTACGAGTCTACATTCGCAATGCTACAGTGGTTCGCCCGCCATTCATCGAGCGCAACATGGGGCTGCATCAAAGAGAGTTGGGGTGAATGTCCAGGGCGTGCGCTGACAGAAGCATTCTCAAGCGTCGGCGGCATCGGCGGGGCACGGGTCATCGTCAACGATGGAGTGTGAACAAATTTGAAATTCTGTGGCTTTGATTCTCAGACATTGCATGTGCTGGCAGTGTCCAAGAAGTTGAAAGAGGACCCAAAACGATGGGTCACAACTTGTGGATGGCCATGGGTGAGAAGTGAGAGGTTGCTGCAAGCCTGCGTGCGACGACCAGGACATAGATGTCAAACAACGTAAGACATGCTGTGTGTGAGAAAACCCAGAGCCCTGTGTCGAGTCCAGGCACAGGTGCAGTGGTGTGTCGAGTCCGTGGTAACAGGGATACCTTGGGTATCCGGTATGCCTTTGAAATCGTTAAGCTCAAACTCCCCACACAACACTTTCGCATAGATCAACCTTCAAACCGAACCTCTCGTTTGCCGCCAATTCTAGGAGAAAACAAGGGCAGCAAATTGTATAGGGAGATAGGTGGGGGTCATTGTGTTGCCAATCTTTCTTGCTTCTCAAACATCTCGGTCGAAACGAAGCAAAATCCAGCCTCAACTCTGCATGCGTTCCGACTGCGCCGACAACACCTGGCAAACCTCAGATGCAAAATTGAATCGAACAACCACAACGCCCAGAGTTAGTTCCCATGCATGATGGTTGGCCAAACAGCTCCAGGAACATCGGGCGACTGAAGCGTATCCTGCCAGCATGCTGGCAGTCCTGTTTTGTGCTGTTTTGCTTGACAGGCCGTGGTGCTGCAAATTGAACAATCATTCAGTGTCAAGAACTCAGAGTTCCTCTTCGTTCTCACACGTTCCCTTCATCTGCATGTCATGACACCCATGTTCTTGGCATGTTTTTGTTTGAGGTTTCACCTGTTGCACTTGGCAAACCGAATGCTCGCGGCTCAGCGCGGCTCAGTCGTTCCACCATATGGGTGTTTATTTAAGCTATACATGGGTGTCATTGGACCATCTCTTCTGGGTCTATGCGGTCTATGTGGTCTCGACTCTGTGTGTCTTTTTCTTCACAAACGAATTGATCCACGTTTTGGTTTCCGGGGATGGACATCGATCCAGTGGTGTGACTGTGATGTTGCACGACTTTGGATGGATTTTTAAAACCCTTTTTCGTGACCTTGTGGGATTTCGGATGAGGTGACGGCGATCAAGCAGGTGATCAAAGATGCGAAACCGCATCACCCTGGAATGGCTGACCGCGTACATGAGGTCCCTGGAAAAACATCTCTTGATTTCCTTAGTAAATTCGAAGTAAATGCGAAGTAGATTACACTGTTCTTGCAGTTTACCAAGGACCTTACTGTATGTTTTTCTTGGTGAAATCGAAGTCTTTGCAGTCTTTGCTTGTCGTTGAAGCGTTTCGAAAGCGATGCAGTCTCAAGATCTGGCACGTTTACGTCCCATGTCACTGCAAGGCCTACATCAAAGCATTCAATGAAGGAAAGTTTGAGGGACTGCAGGCAGGACGATTTATATAAACCTTTCCAGTCGCAATGGTCCATGGCTGCGTGTTCCTATTCATACAGTACTTATATAGTACTTACATAGTACTTACAGTATTTCTACCTGCTCTTTGAGGTGGACACCCTGTCGGGTTTCTACAACATGGCAGATGCAACCTGCCTGGAGCCGAGAACCGAGCCAGCAGGTTGTGCTTGGCTCAGCTCAGCTCTTCGTTTTTTCTCTCAGAATCGATCAGGTTGATGTCATGGAAGGCCGTGGGTCCAAACCACCTTACCCATCCTTACCATGGAAGGCTGACATCCCTTGTACCAAAATCTCATTTTCAGGGTCAGCCATGGGTTCTCTGCCACACACAGGTTGAGACATTCATGACTCTGCGTACTGGGGTTGTACCAAGGCCTCTGGTACTGGCAGTATGGTTTGCTGATCGGCTATGGCTTCGCTTTAGTTTATGCTGCTGCATCCTCGGTTGGCCAAGCAGACGTGTGGGGTCTTCACTGCGAGAACAAAGCAGAAAAAGGCTTAGCGAAGACAAGGACATGCTCAAAACCCAGTTGTTTTCCTCAAACAGTGAAGTCCAAGCACCGAAAAACAACTGTTTGGGGTCGCTGTTGCCTACGTCTACGTCTTCACACCCAAAAAGCACCTCCGATCGCCGTGGCGATCGTTCTCAGATGCGCGGGAGCAGATCGAATCGGTGGTGAGGCTGGAACCATTCCTGCGGGTTACTCCTGCGCAGGGACCTCAGCAATCTCTTGGATATCGATTAACAGCACTACAAAAAAGGCACAACATGCGCAGATCGTTTGAATCTACACAAAAATATATGGTGATCTTTCTTTTCTGCGGGAGCAGGGGAAGACTGCAGGACACGGTGAGGACATCGTTGCATCTTCGATCTGTGAGGACCGCTATCGGCGGACGAGCATCATCGCTTTGGCAACCTTCGTTTGGTCCTTGTGCACAGCGATGCAGGCGTCCGGTTCCACGTCTCATGATAGGACCACAACCGGCAGTCACCGGATTGTGCACCATGAACCACAGCCTGATGGCATGTCCACAAGACTTCTGATTCATGTTGGTTATATGCTCGCAGAAGCCTTTTATATAAACTTCGATTCAGAAGCGTGTTCTGCCGCTCCAATCGAATCAATCGACCTCCGACAACTGCAGGCACAGGCAACGGGATTCACGCTGCTGCTTGGCTGCCGCATCATGATTGGCCTGGCCCAATCCTTTGGCACTCCAGCTTCCTATTCGTGACTTGGCCGGCACTCCCATCCATTCACTCGGCGGAGAGGAGACTCTCCTCCCCAACCCTACCCGGTAGTGGGCAAGGAAGATGAGGAATGCTCCAAACACCAGAAGGTCTTTCAAACAGTTACACGGAGATTGACACCATACAACGCACATTTTCCTTGTATATACACCGTTTTTTTTGAATTGGACCAAATGAACTTATACTTGAACTGATTGTCTTGTTTTGCGGTCTTTTTTTTTCACTTGACCTCGGCACTTCTGATCATACAACACGCCCATGACGTTGCCTCACAGTTCGTCACAGTTCCGTCGAGCAGTCAGTGGTTTGGTCCCAGGCTTTTGGTGGACTACTTCGCCAGTGGGGTCCCCCAGTGCCGGCGCTACTTCTCGGTGCGGAGCGCTGCGGAGCGACCGTGACGCCCCGGCGGGTCGACGAGACTCGGAAGGCAACAGCCGACAACGAGACTTGGCGCTCCCATTGTTGACGATGGTGGGTGCTGGCCTGAGCGAGAAGTCTAGAGACCTGGCGACGAGACTGAGGGAAGAACGCATTCGCAAGGCAGACAGACAAAGGCTTTAGAATAAAGAGAAAGGCAACGCCCACCGTGACGCAAAGGAGGTGTGGGATGCAGTCTGACCCGACGGACCAAGTGAAGAGGATCAGATCACCTGATACGACTGGGCTCGTCGGCTCGTGCGCCGACCTGTGGGCCAGCCTCGGTCGGTGGACGGTTCGTCTAAGGCCCCCAACTCGGTGTGGGCTGTGCATCCTTCAGTGCCTTCGGCGATTCAGAGTTCGGTTTCGACTTCGCCATTTCGGTGGGAGTCCTGATCGAATTGGTCGCTCGAGCCATAGACTACTGGACGTCATAGACTATACTGTCCAGAGTTCACACTTATATGCATATTCATGCATATTGTATCATATTATAGATTTCCATGGACATCATTTAACCAAGTGAATCCACAGTTGAGTTCGTTTTACAAAATCGGAATGATTGGGTCCTTCCGGTGGTCAGTTTTGATGTTTGGCAGGTGAGGTGCTTATCTTCAGACGATGTTGTTCGCGTCCCAACCACCTCAAAGTCGTATTCTTTTTTGATCTTTTGATCTTATTGTCACTATTCTCAATTCTCAATTACTTTTAAAAGACCATTTGGATCCATTTTGGGTTAACGCCCTGGCTGAGAGGTGTTTTCATTTTTTTTAAAATTTCTATTTTTGATCCTCTCAACACTCTTCTCGCTCAGCTGTTCTTTGAGGCATTGTTTTTGCTGAGCTACTTGGATGGCGCTGGGTGGTCCTGCTGACAGGTGCGGTTTTGGGCTTCGGAAAGACATGGAATGAAGTGACCCTTGTGGCTCTATATGACATTTCACTATGACCCTTGTCCACTTAGACGTGAAATGCTTTGTCTTTACATGGCTCCCCAGAATTTGAGATGACCAACAATTTCCACGGCTCCGCGACGAATCAACTATAATCAATCCAAGTCGAATCACGATCATTCACTCTCTCCGTCGCAGGCCTCGCCGGCCTTTTACTGGCTGCAGTGGTCCTGGTCACCATCAAGGACACCAAAAGCATCGCCATGTCCCGAACGACCGCAGAGGGTGGAGGGGTCGGCGAAGGAATGCCGCGAATTTGGTTGGTCATCTTTTCGGACTGTGGGTGGATGCTCCAAATTGGTCCATGCTCCTTCAGTGCACACCCAATGTGTGCACGACCCCGCCTGCCTTCCTTTTGGGTCCACTGGACAGTCGCTCGCGCTCGTCTTCTCAGCGCCTTCCAGGAGCCTCAAAGGACGGAATATTCCGCCCCGTGTGCCACCACGGTGGTCGTGGAAGAGGCGGCGCAGGGTCGAACACGAGTCCTTCAAAACGGTCCAAACGACCGTAGTTTGGCCACTTTCTGTAGTTTGATAAAACACAGAATACGTGTGCCACTTACTCTGAAACCACTGTAGTTTGAAAAAAGCACAAAAAGCTGCACTGCCTACTGAAGTCATCTCTGTCATGGCTGCAGGTCTTTGAGAAATCGCGTGTCTCACGGCTGCTCATGTGGGCAGTGTTTCCACCTCAGACCGTTTCAGAAGGTAGACGCATTAGGCAGCTTCCGGCTGAACTGGATCCGTTTGGCGAACTGAAAGAGAGATTGACCATGATTGACCCGAGAACGGCTCAGCTGATCGCACCAGAATCCAGCCCTCGCCGAAGTCGTCTCTTCGACCAATGAAGCTTGGCCATGCCGGGAACGTTCGGCCTTTTTCTTCAGGTCAGCCAAGATGTTGTCCTCCTACACCTTGACATCCTTCTTGCCCATCTGGTTTGCACGGCGGGATTTGGAAGGCCATTCTACAAAGCGTGGTCGAAGGAAGCTGCTGAAGTGCTTTTTTCATTCTTTTTTGATTTGTTGCGTCGTTGGTGGCGTGTGGTTGGTCAGTTTCATCAATTTGTTGGCGCGAAATCAGGCTACACTAATGATGCCTATGCCTTTTGGAACGCGCTGGCCGTTTCTCTCGCGGGGCTCCTCTCTGTCTGCATTGGCAGCGCAATAGGACCATGTCACGCTTTTCTCACGACGGTCGACACTGCAAAATCATTGTTGGTTTATATTTCATAAGGATCAAACCTTTCCAGAGACCCCAGAGAATGCTCTGAAAAATTCTGAACAATCAACTAACTCAGTACTGACTCCCGACTGCTTCGCCCAAGTCGTCCTTTTTCTACCCGGCAAAAACGTCTGGGCTCCCTTTTTTTTGGACCCGCGCACCCTTTTTTTCTGACCACCCCTTTTTTTCTGACCCACAACCCTTCTTTTCTGACCCACAGGCCTTCTTTTCTGACCCCCAACCCTTCTTTTTTGACCCGCAACCCTTCTTTTTTGACTCCCCAGCATTCCGTGACCAATCCTTTTTTTCTGACCCACGGTCCTTTTTTTTGACCCCCGCAATCCGTTCTTTCTGACCCGCGGTCTTTTTCTTTTGACCCCCGCAATCCTTCCGTTTGGACCCACGAACCTTTCTTTCTGACCACCAAGCCTTTTTTTCCAACCCACGGCGCTGTTGTCTTTGACCCCGCAAAACTGTTGGACCCGCAGCCCGTGTTGCGTGACCTCGTACACCCCGGGCACGCTCTACCGAGAGGAAGCAAATTCTTTCTCCTTCTGCATCCCTCTCTTCTTCATCTGAATGACGGCAATGCAGGGTGAGCCACCCGAGGGTAAAATAGAGAAGGAAGTGGCCATTCCAACTTGACTCACCCTTTTGTGGCCAATGCAGGGAAGTGGCCCTTCCAAGTTGGCCTACCCTTTGGTGAGCCACCCGAGGGTAAAATTTAGAGAAGGATGTTGCCATTTCAACTTGCCTCACCCTTTTGTGGGCAATGCAGGGGTAAAATTCAGAGAAGGAAGTGGCCATTCCAACTTGACTCACCCTTTTGTGGCCAATGCAGGGAAGTGGCCCTTCCAAGTTGGCCTACCCTTTGGTGAGCCACCCGAGGGTAAAATTTAGAGAAGGATGTTGCCATTTCAACTTGCCTCACCCTTTTGTGGGCAATGCAGGGGTAAAATTCAGAGAAGGAAGTGGCCATTCCAACTTGACTCACCCTTTTGTGGCCAATGCAGGGAAGTGGCCCTTCCAAGTTGGCCTACCCTTTGGTGAGCCACCCGAGGGTAAAATTTAGAGAAGGATGTTGCCATTTCAACTTGCCTCACCCTTTTGTGGGCAATGCAGGGGTAAAATTCAGAGAAGGAAGTGGCCATTCCAACTTGACTCACCCTTTTGTGGCCAATGCAGGGAAGTGGCCCTTCCAAGTTGGCCTACCCTTTGGTGAGCCACCCGAGGGTAAAATTTAGAGAAGGATGTTGCCATTTCAACTTGCCTCACCCTTTTGTGGGCAATGCAGGGGTAAAATTCAGAGAAGGAAGTGGCCATTCCAACTTGACTCACCCTTTTGTGGCCAATGCAGGGAAGTGGCCCTTCCAAGTTGGCCTACCCTTTGGTGAGCCACCCGAGGGTAAAATTTAGAGAAGGATGTTGCCATTTCAACTTGCCTCACCCTTTTGTGGGCAATGCAGGGGTAAAATTCAGAGAAGGAAGTGGCCATTCCAACTTGACTCACCCTTTTGTGGCCAATGCAGGGAAGTGGCCCTTCCAAGTTGGCCTACCCTTTGGTGAGCCACCCGAGGGTAAAATTTAGAGAAGGATGTTGCCATTTCAACTTGCCTCACCCTTTTGTGGGCAATGCAGGGGTAAAATTCAGAGAAGGAAGTGGCCATTCCAACTTGACTCACCCTTTTGTGGCCAATGCAGGGAAGTGGCCCTTCCAAGTTGGCCTACCCTTTGGTGAGCCACCCGAGGGTAAAATTTAGAGAAGGATGTTGCCATTTCAACTTGCCTCACCCTTTTGTGGGCAATGCAGGGGTAAAATTCAGAGAAGGAAGTGGCCATTCCAACTTGACTCACCCTTTTGTGGCCAATGCAGGGAAGTGGCCCTTCCAAGTTGGCCTACCCTTTGGTGAGCCACCCGAGGGTAAAATTTAGAGAAGGATGTTGCCATTTCAACTTGCCTCACCCTTTTGTGGGCAATGCAGGGGTAAAATTCAGAGAAGGAAGTGGCCATTCCAACTTGACTCACCCTTTTGTGGCCAATGCAGGGAAGTGGCCCTTCTCAGTTGGCCTACCCTTTGGTGAGCCACCCGAGGGTAAAGTTTAGAGAAGGATGTTGCCATTCCAAGTTGACTAATCTTTTGACGGCAATGCAGGGGTAACATTTAGGGAAGGATGTTGCCATTTCAGCTTGACTCACCCCTTTGTGTTGGCAATTCAGGGGTAAATTTTTGAGAAGGAAGTGGCTATGCTAAGTTCACTCACCCTTTTGTGGGCCACGCAGGGGTAAAATTTAGAGAAGGATGTTGCCCTTCCAAGTTGAGTCACCTTTTGGTGAGCCACCCGAGGGTAAAATTTAGAGAAGGATGTTGCCCTCCCATTGACTCACCCTTTGGTGAGCCACTTGAGGGTACAATTTAAAGAAGGAAGTGGCCATTCCAAGTTGACTACCCTTTTAAGTGAGCAATGCAGGGGTGAAATTTGGAATGCCTGTGTGCACTTGAGTCCCCCCGATGGTGTGTGCGCGCGCTTGAGTCAACAAGTGTGTGCGCAGATGAGGCACAAGGGCTGATAACGTGTGTGTGCGCGCTTGAGTCGAATCCGTGTGCGCGGATGAGGCGCTGCCCCCTTAGTACCCGCACCTGCACCCCGCACTGTTTGACGCACCAACAAGACGCGCCCGCGCCCGCACCCCGCACTGTTTGACGCACCAACATGTACCCGTACCAGTACCACGCACCGACAAGGCGTACCCGTACCAGCACCACGCGCCGACAAGGCGTACGTGTACCCGCGCCCATGCTGTACCTATGCCCGCGCTCACACGTGGCACATCTACTGAAATCATGTTTTCACTTGTCTCGCAGATAGCTAAGGTAAAAGCATAACTCTCAATAGAATAAGCTTTTATACAATTACTAGTCAGCAATTTGTAGGTCTCACACATCTTAAAGTTCTGATATTGATTGTAGTAGCATTTCCTTTATATAACGAAACCCGTTAACCAGGTCTGTTTTATCACACGCATTCAGAACGTATAGAATGTATGCCCTGCATAAGTTTTAACATCACAAGTGTCAGTAGTCACTCATGCCCTCACTTTGGTTGTGGCACTGTCGTCGCCCATTCCCTCAACAAAGAATTATTTGTTTTCGGTTATGTGCTCTCATGTCTGTGCTTTCACGTGTGTTTCACTGGTTGACGCAGGGGTAAAATTTAGAGAAGGATGTTGCCCTTCCAAGTCGACTCACCCTTTGGTGAACCAAAATTTAGAGAAGGATGTTGCCATTTCAACTTGACTCACCCTTTTGTGGGCAATGCAGGGGTAAAATTTAGAGAAGGATGTTGCCTTCCCAAGTTGACTCACCCTTTGGTGAGCCACTTGAGGGAAGAATTTAGAGAAGGAAGTGGCCATTCCAAGTTGACTCACCCTTTGGGGAGCCATTCGAGGGTAACATTTAGAGAAGGATGTTGCCAATTCAACTTGACTCATCCTTTTGTGAGCAATGCAGGGGTAAAATTTAGAGAAGGAAGTTGCCCTTCCAAGTTGACTCGCCCTTTTTGTGGGCAATGCAGGGGTAACATTTAGAGGAGGAAGTGGCCATGCCAAGTTGACCCACCCTTTGGTGGGCCACTTGAGGGTAAAATTTAGAGAAGGAAGTGGCCGTTCCAAGTTGACTACCCTTTTAAGTAAGCAATGCAGGGGTGAAGTTTAGAGAAGGAAGTTGCCCTTCCAAGTTGACTCACCCTTTGGTGAGCCACTGGAGGGTAAAATTTAGAGAAGGAAGTGGTCATTCCAACTTGACTCACCAATTTGAGGGCAATGCAGGGGTAAAATTTAGAGAAGGATGTTGCCATTTCAACTTGACACCCTTTTGTGGGGCATGCAGGGGTAAAATTTAGAGAAGAATGTTGCCCTTCCAAGTTGACTCACCCTTTGGTGGGC